CGTAGTCATCGGTAACATCGGCTGAAATCACCCACGCAGCCACTTCCGGCAAGTCTACTTCGTCGATTGGTGGTTCATCAATCGGAAAGCGGCTTAAACAATCAGCATTGCCATTAAGGCAGCCTTTACGGTACTCGAGCACCATATCGTACGGGTCCAGCAATAACGCCCATCGGGTCAAACGAGCATTGGGACCACGATGCTTGCGAAGACTGGTCAAGGCTTTGTGATCAGTGCGGACTGTGAACTTCCCAAATTCCACATAGTGCCGAAATTTTGTCACCGCAAACACCGCTGCTAGACATTCCAGCTCTGTGATACCGTACTTTTTCTCAGCAGCAGATAAACCCCGACTTGCACATTCTACAATGTGCCCGTCTTGTGACAACACTGCACCTAGCCCATATCCGCACGCGTCGCAATCAATAACTATAAGCTTATTCGGGTCATATCTGGACAAAACTGGCGCTGTACATAAAGCTTCCTTAAGAGAACTAAACGCTTTGTCTTCTAATTCGCCCCATACCGCTGTCACATTAACTTCCTTCTTGGTCAATACAGTAAGTGGCTGAGCCAAATGCGCAAAGTTCTTGATAAACTTTCGGTAATAACTGGCGAGTCCTAAGAAAGACTTAACATCCGTCTTACTAACCGGCTTAGGAAAAGCGGATATAGCTTTTATTTTGTCGGGATCAGTACGTACACCATTAGCGTCGATTATGTGGCCCAAGAACTTGAGTTCTCTCATAGCGAGCGAACACTTTTTCGGTTGTACTGTTATACCGGCTTCTCTTAAGGCTGACAACACCATATCCAGTAGCTCTAAGTGCTCCTCAAAACTGCATGCAAATACAACCAAATCATCTAAATATACGAGTACAATAGTCCATTTAAGACCATTTAATATGCTGTCCATTGTCATTTGAAAGGTTGCCGGGGCGTTACAAAGCCCGAACGGCATCCTTAAAAACTCGTACAGACCGTCCTGCGTACAGAACGCGGTCTTTGGCTGATCCTCTTCGGCAACCGGGATCTGCCAGAATCCTGAGAAGCAGTCCAACCCTGTATACCAGTCAGCAGTGCCGACTGCTTGTAACAAGTCGTCAATTAACGGCAAAGGATAAACATTTTTCCGGGTAATTTTGTTAAGATCTTTAAAATCTACGCAAAACCGTATACCTCCGTCTTTTTTATGAACGATCACTACTGGACTGCTCCATGGTGACTGTGATTTTCGGATAATGCCACTATCAAGCATTTTCTTAACTTCATTTTGAATTAGTTTACGTCCTTTCCATGATGTTCTGCGCGGCGTTGAATTAACTGGTTGCGCCGTACCCGTGTCGATATGATAAGACTGCGCTTCTGAAAACCCATAAGGATTTTTCGACGTTGGGAAAACCTTACGGTTCTTACGTAGCACTTGTAGTAACTGTACCAGCTGTCCTTTCGTTAACTCTTTGTTAATTTGAAGTTCTGGTAACAATCTTTCAAATTCTTCTAGTGCTTGTGCCTCCTCCTCGGCTGACAGCGCATGCACCTGTACTTCTTCCTCTTCTTCATACCAGTCTATAGTACCGAGCAATGCGCCTTTTCGAATAACCCGGCGCCGGTCACTATTATTCATTAGCATAGTGCAAAAGCGCCCATTTCTCACCTGAACAATCGCACTGGGTGAGTACATTTGAGCACTCTGCAGTGTGCTGTCTTCCGGTAAGAAAATAAAAGTTCCATTATCTGGAGCTTTTAAAACCTTAGCGTCGGCAATTACGCTAGAGCGTGGTGGTATCACCACTTGTGATAAGGCGTATACTTTACGGAAACCGCGTGGTGGTTTCGAAGCAGGCAACAGTTCACTGGCTGCACATGTGTCCTGGCTAAATGGTAGTACTGTAATCTCATTACTTCCTTCAGCAGGAATCGGTGGGACTGGCCCATGCGGGTCAGCGGTTCCTTCGACTGCCGAACAAATTAACTGCCTACCCTGCACGTCAATGGAAAGCGGCTTACTCTGTAAGAAATCCATACCAATCAGCACGCTGAACTGAGGATCGCCTTCCCAAACATAAAAAGAGTGTTGGAAATCACTCTTGCCGATCCGTACATTCGCATCGCAGTACGCTGTACGAAGTGGCACGCGACCATCTCCGACGCCTACCACACACACGCGCTTATGTTCAGATGGTAAAGGCGTACATGGAATACTGTGCGCGTCACAAAATTCTCGAGAAACAATAGATACAGCTGCGCAAGTGTCGATTAATGCAGCTACTCGTATATTATTAATATCTACTGTATACGTAAAGCCTGTAGATATTGTAGGTAAGCTCGTGTCTGCACTATAAACACCCGCGATCGGTGTTGTTTCCGGTAGAGGTTTGTCTACAGTGGCAGCAGCAGTATTACCTCTATTTACTGCTGCTTCAAGTTTTTTGGAGTCGGCGGCCGAGGTGGCACGGCTCCTTTCCAGTGTTGTTTCTTAGCGGCTTTATACTGCTGGACTGACTCGGGCAGATTAGCGAATGGCACTGACTGCCATTGACACGTTGTGCTGTAGTGTCCTTTTTCACCACATGTGAAACAGGTGACACTTGGCTTAGCGTCGCCAGGCTCAGGCGTTGTCGGCGTGCGGGATCGCGAGGGCGGCCGACTAGTGTCCGACGTGCCATCCTCACCGGAAGTGCCAGGATTGCTGTCCTGCACTTTGATATTCGAATACCGCTGGTCGCGTCTACTTGTGTGCCGTTGATCGTTGAATGTAACCGCGCGTTTACTCGATTCTGACTGCCGGCGGTCAGCGGCCGTCTGGTCGACAATCCTCTTGCAGTTGCGAGCAGCTGTCAAGAAAGCTGCTACAGTCTGTGGCATTTGAGCTGCCACCAGCTTATACAGTTCCGAATGGGAGCGAAGCCCATTGACCAGATAATCAGCTTGCATCTTTGGGCTCATTTCGTAATCTACGTCGGCAATCAACTCGATGACGGGCTCGTAGTAGTCGTCGACCGTTTCCTTACAATCGTACATGCGGTTAGCCAGCTGCTGCGCCGCAAAGAACTGCCGATCATTGTCGAAATACTTGTCCTGCAGTTTGGCTTTCCAGTCATTCCAGCCTAAACCCTCGGGAAACAACTGCACCATTTTATCGTAAATCTGGCAGCGTTACCCTGGAGTGCATTAATCAATTCAATGCACTTGAAATAATCATCCCATCCATTTTTTACGGCTACCGCTTCATAGCGCTTAATCCAGCATTCGATGCGCTCTTCTTTCTCCCCTTTAAAGACGGGGGTTTTAACCCGCTGGTCTTTCTGTACGTACGAAAAGCCACGTGAGCCGTGAGCTGGCTCAAAAGGCGGTGGTGGCAATGCCATTGTCCGCCCGGCCAACCCCGGTCCCGGAAAATATGCTTCGTCTGAACCGTCTCCGAACGCAGTATTGGCATCCATTGGGGGTGCAAGAAAACGGCCGCCAAGCCGACCGTTCGAATGTCCACGCCCTGTAGCAGAAAACCCTTGAGGATAAGCCTCGGAAACGGGCCATCCCTGAAAATATGGGGTCAGGAACGCGGCAACCTGCTGAGCCAGCCCAGCTGCCACACTGCCAGATTCATCGTCGCCATACACAGCACTTCCTAAAGCCAGCGGCCGCTCATCGAAACAGGGACCACTGCCAGCACTTTTACGTTGCGATCGGACAGGCGGCACCGGTCCGACGCTCTGGTTTCCCGACAAATGTGGACGAAAACTCCGCTGGCTGTCTAGCTCTTCGACGTCTAACCGGAAGAGTTTTGCGCGCAGCTCATCCAGCTCCTTTTTGAGACTGATGTTTTCGCGGTTTAAAGCATCCCTGTCTCTATATAATTGCTTCGGATGGGGAATGACAGGCTGCCGCGGTTCGCCACGCGGTATATCGTGTGGTACGCCCAGCTCCGGTCTTCGAGCCATGTCGGTCTGTTCCTGAGTCGCAAAAGAATATTGTACCGGAACACCACTGAAGCGGCGTTGAGAAAATATACGGTCTGACATTTCTGAATCGTCGAAACACGGCAGCGACTGCCTGGGTGCGCAATCTCTGCGGTCGACGGCCTTGTCGCGACGATCACCGGCCGAAGGCGATACAAACTGCACTGAATTCGGTAGGGAGGCCGTTTTACTTCTTGGCGGTGGCCTCGGTCCGCTGTTACCAAAAATACCGTCCCCATGAACTCGAGACGAAGGCAGGGGACTGCTGTAGACCGCCGATAGTTCGGCGTTTTCCCCGTCGTCTCCTACCACACCCTCAAGCCTGAAACCGGCCGAGGGCAGCGCGTAATTCTCTTGAGATGCCCTCACATTGTTTTCCCAAGACTGTGGTGCACTAGTAGAGGGCATACCGTCCCCAGAACCTCGATAAGCAGCCCGGGAACTGCTGAAGCCCATTGGCGGCTCATCATATTCTGCCATCGCGCTATCACGTCGAACACCGTCCCGTGTTGCATTTTGTTGCCCGGAATTACCGTGAGAAGCCCGTTTATTTTTTGCTGTAGGCTTTGCTACGCTGTTTTGAGGAATATTATTCACATGCACTTAAATAGCAGCCCGAGGACTGCGAAAGACCGCCGGTGGCTCTTCGTCAACGACGTCTTCAACTACTGGATCAGCGCGATCGTTTTCCGCGCTCACATTTAACGGGTCTTGCACCGCGTTCACTTCGTTGTACCTTTCTGATTGTTCTTCCATCTGAAATCGACGGCCACTGCGCAGAGTCATTGGCGAACTACAAATTTTTCGCTGGGTTCCCGATACCGGTATACACGAGGTGGTGATTGTTAAACAGGAGCGCCACTTGTCACAAGGGCAATTCGATACCCCCGTGATTTTCTAGGTTTTCCCTACTGCGGAAAAGAACGGGACACGACAAATTCACTTTTGTTACGTCTCCCAGCAGATTTACTGCTCCGCATCAGAAGAAAAGCTAAAATATGAAAATGGCAGAAAAGCAAAAAACAAGAACCCCCTCTAAGTCGTCGTGCACGCATCATCCCCCCGACTTCTAACGTAACAGCCATCCGATACACAACATGACAATATTGTTCATTGTAAGTTTGCTTGTTACAATAAATAAATGCACTGGTAGTAGAGAAAATAAACTGGCGAAGTCTTTTTCTCAGTTTACCGTGTACGCTGCATCACTTCCGCTGCGGTCGCGGGTCAGGCCATTGTGGCACATTAACCAGCGTCAAAAAGTTTGTGTAAAAGAGTTCGGCTGCCAGCGGCCGCAATACCGGATCGCGCTTCACACAATACGCGACAAACGCCTGCAATTCATTCGGCAGTTCATGCGGTATGATCGGCGACCCCCCACCAGTGGCGACGTAGTACATGACAGCCAGACCGAACTTCAGGTCCTCTTGTTTTCCGTCCACCACTCGGACAAAGCGCGGAGATCCGCTGATCATCTCCAGCACCACGCAGCCCAAACTCCAGATATCCGTTTTGCAGTCAGCTGCCAAATTTGCGTCGTTTCCCAAGATTCTCTCCGGCGGCATGAATGGAAACATGCGTTCGCAGCTACCGACATCCGTCTCCCGGCTCACATAAAGTTCGCTGGCGCCCAGATGGCCAATCTTCATGAGGCAGGTATTCCAGTCCGGACAGCTTAGCAGAATGTGGTTGCCCCTTAAATCGCGGTGTACGATTTTTTTGGCGTGCAGGTAAGCTAAGCCGTCGACAATCTGGCGTGTCCATTTTTGGATGAGTGGCGCGGGAATGTGGAACTGAGCCGCCGCGTGCAGATTGCCGCCTGGAAAGGCAATCATTCATTAACCGATGAACTGAAGCACTTTAACAACAGTAATTCCAAGAATTATGCTTATTTTCGAATTTAAAACCCGTAAATGTAGTGCGAATTCTTATTGTAAGTTAATAAAACGTGGAACAACCGTTACATTTTGATATGGTAATATGCAGCTGCTGCGAAAGCATGCATTCAAAACCAAAGCTGATCCTGGAATTCGGTTAAAAACGCACCATACAGGCAGTAATGAATTACCGGAACAATACTCCATAACGATTGTGTATTGCATCGGAATGGCCTCCAGAGAACTGGAATGCGCCAGGTGACGCACCAGATGCGGATGGTCTAAACTAAGGATATACTGTAAACTGGCGTCCAGTGAATGGGCCTGCGCGTGGGCTCTTTCCCTGTCAAAATCCAGAAGGGCTTTCTTAACCGCAATCTCGTAATGCGTGCGGTGGGCCAGGTATATTTTGCCTGCTGGTTTACTAGCAATTTCTTCGACTAACTGATACCGGATTTTTGGAATTGGTGCCGACACTTCGCCTGTCATTTTACAGCGGTTCATAAGCTCAAGCAAAATTACTGTGTAAAATGCGAATTACATGGATCACCACATTGGCCTGCATTGCTTTTAACTTCTGGCAAACCCAGACCGCAAGCGCACGAGAACGTTAGCAGTGCTGCGTGTTTGTTTAGTTCATAGGCAGCCGGCAAGAGCGATCACCATTAATCTGATGATAAGGACACACCGTTTCCTATGCCGATTAAGGCGCACCGGAAACCGATACGGGCGTTATGTCTCTTATCATCATTACATCATTCTTATGTTGTCATTCTATCACTCTGTTTGCTTTAACAATCAAATGATTTCAGAGAAAATCGCTTGCTTATTATTTGTAGCAATCCCGATGCTTAAGGTGATCAAATATCACGCCCGGGGGGTGGGGGGGTGCTTTGTTACTGTCAGATCAAGCTAGCTAGCTTGAACTAGCTAGCGACAGCTATAGCTGTCGCATGTCATCTGTTTCCTAGTAATGCGATTGGATTAAAGCTCATATATGAACTCGTGAGGAGTAGGAAGTGGCCCGGCAAGGCTGAATACGTCGCCATTTGGTTTATTTGCTAATGCGCGCTGTTATCACCTTTGTGACGAATGCTCATTGGATTGCACTGGCGTATAATTCAAGTATGTTGGTGCAAAATTGGTAGCGGAAAGTTAGTTGAGCAAATAAGAATTTTTAAGGTTTTGACTGTAAACCTCTGTATTTCAATAAAAAGTTCCACTGTGGATTTATTTCAAGATTTTCACATCATGATTTTGCGTCAGGCAGCGAAAACCTAGCACCGATTGTCTGATAATGACGCTACAGTTCGTCCCGGGGACTCTATCAAGCGCACTGTGCTGCTGGACGATGAAATTCGCTTGTTTCCCGACGAAGAAGTACAAGGAATGAATTGCATTGCATGCGCAGCGTGGTTGCAGATGCGCGACCGCGCCCACAGCGACCACGAACACGACCGTGGTGACCACGTTTTAGAAACACCCAGGCGCGATGCGATGGACGCAGGCTTAACTACCATTGGAATTGGAATTGCTAAAGGATAACACCGAATCAAAAACCATCCTGGCGCTCGATTAACAGTAGGACACACAGCACTCAAGCAGTAATGATTTACCGGAGCAATATCCCATAATGCTAATGTGGCGCGGCGCGTGCACCGGGTTGCCATTCCGAAGATGACAATGAGCGGTGCCGCACTGGCCTTATGATGTTCCAAACTAAAAAAGAACAACTTTTAAGAACAAGCCGTAAATCGGTGTTCATCGAATCGGCTTATTCCCAGAATCGGTGCATGGACATATTGCAAGTTCGAACCCAAAAAGAAACTATTTATTGCGATCTCCACGGGTCAAACGCCGTCCGTGCGGTGGGCCAGGTAGACATCGGGCACAGAATAATTCTTAAAAACTTTTACTAACGGATACGGGAGTTGCGTAAGTGGTGTGGCTGCTTCGCTGGCCATGATACACTAATCAAAACTTATTGTGAACGATTCATTTTACTAGTGTGACAACAAATGGGTTTGCCTGAAGGCTTCAGACTTCAGGCAAACCGCCGCAAACCTATACTGATCGCACACGAGTATGTTAGCAGCGCAATCTGCCTTAAATTAAATGGTCACAGCAGCCGGCTGGTAGGTAACAATTAACAAGTCATCTGTTGGAACCCGCACATCTTTCCGGTATCAAGCAATTTGATCATTACTACATCGTTATGATATCATTTTTGCATCATTACATTATGGCGACGATCGTTTCAGGGCATTAGTGATCTGTCAAAGTTTACTGGAGCAATCGGAAACCAGTAAAAATCATTTGAGCCTAAATCGCCATAATAAGTGATGATAATCCGCATGATTCACGGAATTATTACTGCAATACCGTTGGCTTTTCTTTCTTTTGAACAAATTACCAATACTTTACGGTTCACCTACTCGTCAATACCTTAGGATATTTAAGCTCACGCATTGATTTTGCAAAAAGGGGTATGGCAAAGCTGCGCTGCCGTCCGGCTAGTTTGTCGACCGAAGCCATTCGAAGATACTCCATACTCAAGGAAACGGGAATGGGGTCGGCCACGTCGGTGCGCTTATCAGTTTTTCTAGAGAAATGAGGCTTTTCCTTTTTTTCTGCTTTCCTGTAACCAGCAAAACCGTCCCGCAATCCAGAAAAACGTTGTGTGCCCACCAAGTTGTGCCCACCCAGTTTTTGGATATTGAGAATGATCGGAATTGAGAATGTTGCTTTTTACCGGACTGTTTCTTGGGGCCGGCAGACGGGTTTGCCTGCTTGGAGGCGCAAAAGCGTCCGATGAACGGCTCATTCCTTCAAGCCGTTTTTGCCGGTTACACACGGCTTCTACTAAACCGGACAATTTATTCCCAATGAAACCTATTCCTGTAACTTGTAAGCAAGTGCTTGATTCTAGTTTATTCTGGCCGAAATAGACATATACTCGTGCGAAAGTTATGCTGCTATAAATTATGCCGTAAGACAAGCAAATATTTGCTTTTGTTGTTGGGGACTTTGCAGTTGGCACTATAGCACTTTTGTATGCAACTTCTGCGCAGCGAATTATGCACTTTATGCAACGTTTGATGAAGATAGTAGCGCAACAATTTTTTCAAATTTCTATGCAAGTGTTTATGCTCGCACTTCTCTGTGCAAAATGACCTTATCGAATTTTAGATACCGTAACTGTCGAATTCGCAGCCCTCTAGTGCAAAAGTTCGAACGTCTCGGAGGAAGGGGGCATATTTCGTCGAAACGTCAAGAATAGAATGATATCTGTTTAATGCGGTCCTTCTTTCTTTGCAACCGCTTAAAACATAAAATACACTCGCGCTCGTAGTACAGACAGACACTAAACCGGTTCAATCGAGATTTCAATGTACGCTGCATCAGTCTCGTTGCGGTCGCGGGTCAGGCCATTGCGGCACCTTAGCCATCGTCAAAAAGTCTTTGGTTAAGAGGTCAGCAGATGTCGGCCGTAATACACGATCCCGCCACAGGCATTCCCCGAGAAACGTCCGCAACTCTTCCGGCAATGTATGAGGTATTTGGGGCGACCCGCCGCTACCAACGTAGTACATGGCGGCCATATCGGTTGTCAAGTCCACCTGATGTCCGTTGACGTCTTTTACGAAGTGCGGCAATCCGCTGATCATCTCCAGGACAACACAACCCAAACTCCAGATATCGGTCTCGCGTCCGACGTTATCGTCCCAGACCATCTCCGGCGACATAAAGGCATACCGGCCTCCACAGTCGCCGACCCTGTGCGCCATCTCTCTGTGGAGACGTTCAGTGGTGTCCAGATGACCAATCTTCATCTGGCAGGTATCCCAGTCAGGACTGTTTAGCAGAATGTTCGTGCCCGTTAGATCACAGTGTGCAACGTTTTGGGCGTGCAGATAGACTAGGCCGTCCACAATTTGACCTGTCCATTTTTGGATAAGCGGCGCGGGAATGTGGAACTGAGCTGCCGCGTGCAGGTTGCCGCCTAAGAAAACCTTTCTCCATAAGCTAAGTTAAAGCAACCATCAAATGATACTAACTCATTTTTTTAATATTCAAAGAATTTTTTTTGTGTGAAGTAAATTGACAAGTAAACGGGCAATAAAAAACGGTAGCTGACACGTTTACAGCAAAAGCCCCGGCAGCCATAGTATATTGCAAGACTGGATGGCGTTTCTACGCTTTACTCGCATACGTTTGATTTACCGAAGCAATACTCCATTATGATTATGTAGTGCGGTACTTCCATCGGATAGGCCTCCAGAGAATTGCCATGCGCAAGATGACGCACCAGATTGGGATGATCAAAAGTAAGGACATGCTGTAAATCGGCGTCCATGGAAGCCGCCAGTGCGCGGGCCCTATCCCTGTCATAATCCAGATGGGCGTTTTTCACCGCGATCTCAACGGGTCGTACGCCATCCTTGCGGTGGGCCAAATAGACATCGGCTCGTGAGGTATCAATAAGGCGTTGCACCAGCTGGTAAGATATTTCTGGGCAAGTTGCAGACGCTTCGTTGTGCATAGTACTGTGGTTCATGGTGCCCGTACACGTAATCGAAAATCAATGTGCACGATTCATTTAACGAGTGTGGCAACACACTGTTGCAGCTACCGGCATACCCATACCGGTCGAATACGAGTGTATTAACAAATGAAGTGCTCACAACAGCCGGCTGATCGAAAACCACTAATCAAATGATACCCGCACTTCGCTTCCGGTATCAAGCCGATTAAATCATTACTACATCGTTATGATATCATTATTACCGTAATTATCGAATTAGAGCCCCAGGGTCACAAATATATCAAACGCCTCATGGGGTGGGCTCCAATTACGGGCATGGGCTTGTATTTCGGAGGGGGCTTCAATTTTTCAAACTCACTTTTTTGGCGTTCGCTAACATGGGCTATATAGCATTTAATTAAGCCCATGGGCTTATATTTCGGGGGGAGCTTAAAATTTTCAAATGACCTTAAGGGTGGGCTCTAATTACGGGGGGAGCTTCTATTTTGGGGGGAGCTTATAATTCGATAATTACGGTACATCACTGCAACATGACGGTGAACAACTCACGGCATTAGCGAATGCTTTATAAAGGCCAAAGGAATTCATTAGAAACCATGTGAGCAATAATCGCCATAATCCAGACGATTTATACTGCAGACGACGCTCTACCACTTTTCTATCGACAAATTCGACACAGTAACGGAGTAATCCCATTAATTTACCAATAATCTAATACAGATATACGCAGGGATAACAAACTTGCGTGTTGAACAGAGATATGGTAGAAAAAAAGCGTCCTAACAGAGCTGGGCTGCCTTCCGCTGAATTTTTAAAAAGGTTGTGCAATTGCGTGGTTTTATCAAAGGACACTTTTATGATGTAGAAAACGAGCTTTTTGGTTGACATAGCCATATCTTTCATGAACGAGGTGCTATGATGAAAAAAGCGGATTGTATGAGCCACGTCCGACTGGGAAAATTAACATTTCAGATTAAATAACAGTTAAAACGCTACATTTCAAGTAAGGGTAGATTAATAAAGCATCCATTACAAGATCTTCATATAGGCGCATTAAAATATTTAAACATTTTAACACCAGGCCATTTTTATCAATTAGAAACCGGCTACCAACAATTAAAAATTTAGTTCTAATCTCAGTTTAGGTCAGAAACGGAGGCCATACCATTGAAATGATCTCATAATCATAAAAACATTTTGATGTATATTTGTCCATAAAGAAACTTATAACGAACCGGTTAAATTTAACCGCACTGGCATATTGCCATCTGTTGCAGTTACCATGCTGGACAGAGGCCGCAAAGGTCCCAACAGGCGCTATTTCGTAACACTGCATTATGCCACCGAACAAATACTAGAAACCTCGAAAGCGCACACAAGTCGCAATTAACAGCTGTTAATTATGGACTTATGGTTATCCTTTTTATCACTGTTCGTAACATTAATTCTACGAGTACCAGAAATTAAGCTGACGTTATAGCTGGTCGCATCAGTTCCGCCGCGGCCGCGGATCATACCATTGCGGCACATTAGCCAGCGTCAAAAAGTTGGTATACAAGAGTTCGGCTGCCAGCGGCCGAAATACAGGATCGCGTTTCAGACAATAAGCGACAAATGCCCGCAATTCATTCGGCAGTTCCCGTGGTATCTCCGGCGACCCGCCTTTGCAAACGAAATACATGATGGCCAAATCGTTCTTCAGCTCTATCTGCTTTCCGTCTACTTCCTTGACAAAGCGCAGGGATCCGCTGATCATTTCCAGCACCACACAGCCGAGACTCCAGACGTCGCTCTTGCGGGCGTTGCCGCCTCCCAGGATACAATCCGGCGCCATGAAAGCACACGTTCCTTCGCCGTCATCGGCCTCTTTCCCCGCAGCCACCTCCCTCTGCAGACATTTTGCGGCGTCCAGATGGCCAATCTTCATTTGGCAGGTATTCCAGTCCGGACTGCTTAGCAGAACGTGGCTGCCCTTTATGTGGCCGTGCAGGATATTCTGAGCGTGCAGATAAACTAAGCCGTCAACAATCTGGCGCGTCCATTTCTGGATGAGTGGCGCGGGAATATGGAATTGAGACGCCGCGTGGAGAGTACCGCCTAAGAAAACAATAACTGCGCGTTTTATTATCAATAATTGAGTAAACAGCAATTAAAAAACAGCAATGCCAATAAATGATTATGTTTTTTTTCGACATTTAAAAGTTGTATAATGTGTTAGTAATTTTTATAGTGGATTAACGGAAGCGAGCTGGTACATGACGATAATGTGTGGTGTAAGAACAAACTCCATCGTTATGTGCGTTTACATGCTGAATTTGAAGGAAATCAGTCTATAATGAGACTTTTGGTGCACCGGAATGCAGTTAAACCTTTGGGAATTTTGTTATCCACACGCCTACGCAACCGGATGTTGCACGTGAAAACTAATGTCACGCTTGAGTATGCAGATCATGTGAATATTAAAGCCCAAACGTGTTTGGAAGTGCGCAAAAGCGAAAGTTCTCGTGAATTTACACAAATTTGGTGCCATGTACCGGGTCAAATTCCTAAAGTAAAGCGTGAAAACACCGTCCCCCTTTTGGAATAACATGGCAACCCAAGCGTTAGCTATAACTCTCATAATTTGCCTTATTGCTACAATACATTGGAAATCGCAATAACCTAGCAGTTGTTCGAAAAGCATGCGTCAAAAATCAAAACCGAACCCAAAACTATGATAATATGCAGCACAGAGATAGTACCGAGTGTACCGACTTACCGGAACAATATTCCATTAAGATTATGTATTCCGGCACTTCCACTGGTTTGGCCTGCAGAGAATTGTAATGCGCCAGATGACGCACCAGGTTCGGATGATCAAAAGTTAGAATATGTTGCAACTCGGCGTCCACCAAAGCGGCCAGTGCCTGGGCCTTTTCCCTGTTATAATCCAGAAGGGTTTTCTTCACCGCAATCTTGTAATGCGTGCGGTGGGCCAGGTATATGTCGTTAAATGAATGATGGGCAATTAATTGCTCTAGCTGATACTGGATTTTTGGGTATGGTGTCGACGCTTCGCTTGCCATGGTAAAGCTGTTCATACTTCATACGCTAGCCCAAAGTTTGACTGTGCAAAAGGCGAATTACAGAAACTGCCACATTGGCCTGCTTTTGGAAGTTACTGTACTTAAATACGGAATGCAAGCACACGAGTGCGTTAGCAGTGCTGCGCTTCGTAGGCAGCCGGCAAGAGAGACCACCATTAATCTGATGATAAGCCCACAGCGTTTCCTGTGCCGATTAAGGCACACCGGAAACCGGTAGGGAGATATGGCTCGTTTCATTATATCATGCTTATGTCAGTATTGTATCATATGTTTGCATTAATATTAAAACGATTTTCAGAGAAATTGTTTGGTTTTTGATCTCAGTATTCCCCATGGTTCAGGTGATCAAATAATACGGCCGAGGGGTGCTTCATTACTGTCCGATCAATACGAGTACAGCAGCAGCACAATTCCGCATTCTAGTACAGTAATACGATTAAAGCATACATACTGAACACGTTTAGAATAAATAAGTGGCCCGGCAAAGCTGATTACGCTGTCTTCTGGTTTATTTGCTATGCGCGCTCTGTTATCACCTTTTTACAAATGCTTCTTGGATTGCACTGGCCATGAGGTATGATTCATGTATTAGTCCTACACTCCGCGCGAGAACACCAAAGGTGGACTTGAAATTTTCTTCCTTTTGGCAATTATGCCGAACACGGCCGGAAACGACCCCAAGCCATTACTGAGAGAAACAAAACAGAAACATTTTTAAGTAGCATAAGACACATTAAATATTTTTAGCCTTGAACATATCCCAATTTAGAGTTTTATACCAATTCGCATACACGCATAACTGTTGATGAGAGACCACTGGATGGGGTCATCTCGAATGTCGTAGTCCCCGGATCGCAACCTTAATTATGCTTTACGCATAGTATTGAGTAGAAGGTATAATAGCGCTGCCACTAGTCCAAGCAGCATCACTTCCGGTGCGAGTCCAAGCAGCATCACTTCCATCCGCTGACCATCTTCAGCCCACAGCTTAAACTCCAGATGTCGGGCTTGCAGCCAGTGGCGTCGCTAAGAAACATCTCCGGCGACCTGTTTCGCCATAGTTACATTTTTGGATAGACGCTGCATTGAGGAATCGAGACGCCGCCGGCAGATCACCGCCCACCAACCAAATCCAAAAGCTGAGCGATCATAAACAATAAATAGCAGCAAGTCCTTATTTTGCTGTTTTATTAAACGCAATGATAGTTAGAAAGTTCTGGTAATTTTTATTGTGAACTTGATTATTTATAACTTTTTATACTTTTTGTGACGTTCTTAACATTTTCCATTATATTTTTTATTACTTATTTTTATTGATATTTTTTTTTACTTTTTTTATTACTTATTTTTACTAATATTTTTCAGTTTTTTTAAGCTTCATAGTTTTTTTATTTTTTATTGCGTAAGTCGCAAAAACACCATCATTCTAGCCTTGTAATAATATTACTGTCGTCACGTTTGCTGTAAATTGGCCGCTAAACTTATCTTTAGTTCGCATAACATAATTAGAGAAGTTATTGCAGAAGCACCTGCACAAGCAGGCAGTGCACAAACGGTAACGATTTATCGGAACAAAATTCCATAATGGTAATATGGAATGTTATTTTATTTCTCAATATGTACCAGGCGAGCTTGGCTCAACAAATATGGTCAAATGAATGGAATATGGAATATTGTTCCGATAACGGCATGTTCTCCGTTTTGAGCACCGAATTCGGGTTTTCCAAACGGGGAATATGCCGTAAGTCGTCGTCCATCGAATCGGCCTGCGCGCGGGCATATTCTCTGTCCAAACCCAAATCGGAACTTTATGCGGTGGGCAAGATAGACGTCAGGTCATGAATAATCATTCAGCCGTTTTACTAACTAATACGGGATTTGTGGACGGGGTGCAACTGCTTTATTTCGTTTCGACTTTTGATCAACAAAAATTTGGAATAATTCTATTACCAATACTCTGCCGTACACTTGGATTATAAAGCGAACGGGCTGAATTGCGCATCTTTTTACCGACCTTGCAAGCGCTCACCGTAACTATTAACTAAAAGAACGCGATCCTGTATTACGGCCTCTGGCAGCTGAACTGTTGTATACGAGCTTTTTGACGCTAGATGATATGCCTCAATGGTGGCCGCAGCGGAACTGATGCGACTAACCAGTACGTCAGATTATTTTGTGTCTCCTCGTAGGCTCGTATGATTAATGTTACAAGTAGTCATGGAACGTATAACCACAATAAAACAGCCCGTTGCTTGTGAACTCTGAACAAGCACACCGCACTGGTAACGCATTCGTGTGTAGTCATAACGTATCCCTTGGATGTTACAAGTAAGGTCGTTGTAGTGTTGGCAATTTAAATTTAGTTACCGTATATGTAAATTGGTGTATCATAGAGAGCGAAGCAGCTTTAACACGTCGGAAAATCCCGTATCAGGTGGTAAAAGAATTTCTCAGTACCCGCAACCCCTTCGTCGAAGTCTGCCTGGCCCACCGCACGGATGGCGTTCAGCACATCGAGATCGCGGTAAAAAACTCCACTGTGGGCTGGAACAGGGAAGAGCACACGCGCAGGCCGATTCGATGGAAGCCGATTTTGCGGCATGTTCTCCGTTTCGAACATCCCAATCTGGTGCGGCACCTGGCGCACTGCCATCCTCGGGAGGGCAACCCGATGGACAAGCCGCTTTACAACATCGTTATGGAATATTGTGCCTGTAAATCGTTACTGCTTTTCTGCTGCGTGTTAATCGAGCGTCAGGAGTGTTTTCGCGTCCGTTTCTGCCTTTGACGAAAAACTTTAGAAAACAATGATATTTATGTAACGTGAACCACCAAAAAAGGTTACAACTGTACTGCTAACGTTACGGCAGGACAATTACTCAGTTAATGATAATGGTCTTATTAAGCGGCACTCTCCACGTGGCGTCTCGATTCCAGGCGGCAAACAGAGTTTACCGGAAGTCAATCACATACCGTTTCTTACAGTAAGCCGATCGTATCCCGCCGATCACCGGTAGGGATGGCATGTCATCATTTATGATTATGTCATTATTATATGATAATGTTATCCGACCCATGAAATTACGGAGCGGAAGTATCAGCGACTATCCGCTCCTGGTCTCGTAATCGTATCCTCCCCCGTAATCGATAGAGGCGACGCCTTGACGCCGTCGATGTCGAATTTTTAATTTTATCTACGTATTATCAGCATTCAGCTGCGTAAAGCGCAAAAATATTGTCCAGTCTTATTACGTCATATACATAACCGCCGGCTGCCGTAACGTTGTCTGTCCGTTAGCAGCGCAGAGTGTTACATGCTTAGAGCAGCCGGCTAGGTAACCACGGTAATCCGATAGTATCCGTACACCGCTTTCGGTATGAAGCCGACTTAATCGTTAGTCGTTACTACAGTACTACATCGCTATGATATCCTTATTACATCGACATCATAACAATGACCGGCTCTGGGCAGTAGAGAACGGATTACAACAGTTTATATGATAAAAAATAGACTGGTGCATTTCAAGTAAAAGTTTAACTAAGGATTTGGTTCGAGATCTTCACATCAGTGCACATAAAAATTTGAAACGCGCAAACAGTTTTACAATATGCCATTTTTTTCCAGTTATATAGTAACTGCAAATACTTCTGAATTAATTTAGTTCTAAGACGACCGAAAATTATTTCTAACCAAAGTTTTCCTAACCTGATTATTCCAATAGCAGCTGCGTAATCCTTGATCAAATCCGCTGATTACTGTAACTAGTCTCAGCATCTTGTGCACAATGTTAATTTTATGGCGTCATTTTAGGCTGACCAGACTTTCCAGGCAAAAGTAGGACGATTCCGCAAATCAGCCAACCTAGAGCGTATTAGACACGCGTCTTCTACTGTGACAATTGCTGAAGAAGAAAACCTAAAAACCTAAGGAAGCTAAGAAATCTGAGTAACCAGAAAACCTCAGAAAAGCTAAGAAGCTATGAAAATTGAGAAGCTTAGGAAATTTAGGAGACGTAAATGTGCGGCGATGGAACGGCAAGTGGCCGAAGTGTGAGAATACCTCAGTGCACATGCATGGTAGAGAGATGATAGTGAAGAGGACGCCGGTGTTTTCGGTATTCTGATGATTGCAATCTTGTAATTAATCTTTCGTATTGCATTAAAAAATGATATCTTGGCACCTGCCACTTGCCATGCTTTACCGCTTGCCAGCGAGCTGCCACTGCCAGTGGGAGGTACCATTGCAACCTTTTCAACCCTGCCTGTGTCGGCAGTCTAGTCATGCAACGCTCATGGCACGCTGGCCAAAACAGGTCCGCTTACACATCCGCTTAGACAAAATTTATCCGCTTAAATAATTTTTTCGCTCAATCGTGTTTTTTCACTCAACGGGAATTACGAGGATTATAATATGAGCATTTTTGATAACGGTTATTGTTATAAAGAGTTACGATGAGAGTTTCTTCGTAGAATGGTACTGAAATTCGACTGCTCAACATTTAGTGCTATGTTTAGTACTATCTTTAATAGGCAATAGCCGTCAAAGTAACAAGAAGTGCAAGCGCAGGCACACTACGTTACTGTTAAAATTTTAAACATTGAAAAAATGTTAGTTAATTAGTCTATGTTAGTTAATTCGTCTACCACTAACAATTTTTTTGTTGTGGATGCACCTTAGCTTTTCGAGCGCATTACTCACTTCGGGACAGTTATTAACCACATCGATATATCCTATAAATGCGTATACTGAAAAAATGACGTTGTAATATGAGAAACTTGGGGCAAGTTGCAGCAATGCAGAGCAGCTAAAAATTACCTGAAAAACATGCATATGACATGCAATGTGAAACGGTTGTATCACAGTAAGAAGAGACCAGCAAAGATAAGAAAGACCATTGAAAAACTACATATAATGTATAAAAGAGATCAGTATAAACTCAGCCGGCATCACCTATGCAAATGATTCTGCAAATACGATGCTTACTGTATGTTCTTCACATTTGCAATAACAAAGCGATTCTCGCGCTTTGTTCTTCCATCTGCATATTGACTAAACGGCTTTTGATGATTCAGCAGCCAGCCGTCACTGCAGCCACTTTATCCGTTAGTGAAAAGAATTGTTCTTTAAGTGCCGTTGATGCA